GCATCGCACTTTTACTTATAATTTAATTAGAATTTGCACAATTTTACATACCAATTTTAACTTTCAATTGCTCTTCAATTCGAACTTCCCGTGTGTTATCGGCCATGTTGGATCCATAACTAATGCTTGTTTGCTCCACACTGTTGTCGTCTCTTTCCTCGTATTTCTTTTTCAGGTGCATTTCGTTTATTTAATCGAGGGAAATTTGAGCACACTTTAGCACTTTGGGGTTGCCGTTGTTTGTTTATTTTACACGTTAATCGGGAATAACACAATTTGTAGCACTAAATTATATTTTGGATTTAAACCTTTTTTATTTAAAAGTTTGATCGCTGTACTACTCTCCGACATTACTGGCAAAAAGTTTTTAATCTGGAATTTTATGAATGTGAGCACTTAGTATTTTGGTTTTAACTTAAATTAATTTGATTTATATATTTTCGATCAAATTTAACCGTTTTTTTGTGATTTTTATTTTTTCGACCAAAAGCTCTCGTCATTTTTGATCGCTAATTTGGGTTATTATTATTTTTTTTTTTTTATAATACTACATACATATAACTGTTATTTTCAGATTTAATTTTTGGATCATAAAAGATCTAAGTCGGCAGTCTTCGTTTTGACCGTTAAAAATGATCGAAAAAATAAAAATTCAAAATAACGATTATTTTTTATCAAACAAAAAACTTCACACTGGCATTTACTGCTCACAAGAGGCCATAGTCGTAATTTTTCAACCGATTTCTCTTGTTTGTGTTGATTAATATTTTATAATCAAAATTCCTTGAAAAGAATTATAAAAAATGCACAAGAAAAATTGAAATATTATAAAAAATGTTCACCAAATTTATTTATTTTTTTTTGAATTTCTATATAATACTTATATGGTTACAATTTGTTGCTATTTAAATAAAGAATTGTTTGTCAATGTTAATGTGGCTTATTAACAATTTTTATTTTTAATATTTGTATTGAGCTTTGTGCCACGATTGTTTATTAGGAAAAATTGAAAAAGCAACAAAGTCTAAGCGGTATAGGTTATAGCAGCTATTTCGGAGATCACCACATCTCCTCATCAGACTTCTTTTTTTCTAGACTTCAGCAGGGATCGAATCTGCGTAATCGATGTTCACAGTCAGAAGCGTTAACCACTGAGCTATGTACATCTCGTAAACTCTTGTTGCTAATTCATTTTCCTTATTCAACCAACTACTATCAAGTGCAGCTATTGAAACTCGACAGCGTGGTTGTTGTTGTTGTCAATTCTATACATACAATTGCTGATTTGCTTTTTTGTATAGTTTCAGACAGGCTCTTCCTAAACTTCTACCGCTTAGACTTTGTTGCTTTTTCAATTTTTCCTAATAAACAATCGTGGTACAAAGCTCAATACAAATATTAATAATAAATAATTGTTTGTTTTATAAATGTGAAGATTTCGCTCTGATCTTCATATAAATTTGGTAAAAATGAATGATCTTCGAAAACAAAAGACTTTCACAAACTGCATTTATGTATTTATGTATATTAGACTGCATCGCCAAAAAAAAAGGTGCGGTTTTTCCGCAAGAATTACAAAATTTATTATATTTGGAGACTTCCAACAAAATATTTCGGAAAAATATTAAAATTTCCATGAACTGGACCAATTTGAAAATACCTCCAAAAATGTAGTTTTTTTATGAATAAAAATACATAGTTTCTTAAAGCACTTTTTGAAAAGAAATCCTCTCGGATGATAAAACAGTTTAAGCTTAAAAATCTACATTAAAATAAAAAAAAAAAAAATTTCAACGGAATCATGAGACTTTTGATGCTGTTTTTTTAAACTTTTTTTCAAAGATGAGTTTAAGAAAAACTTAAATAACTGGACCAAAACTATACCGATTTAAACTTATGAGGTATCACTGGAAATGTATTTCCTCATCTTTTTGTATTCATAAAAAAACGCAATTTTTGGGGGTACGTATTTTTAGATTGGGTTAAGTTCGCGTACATTTTAATATTTTCCTGAAATATTTTGGTGCAACTCTTAAAATACATATATCTAATATATTTTATAATTCCAATGGAAAAACAGTACAAACAGTAAATGTTCAGATTATTTTAAATATAGAAATCTCAAGTTTAGTTCGTGAATACACTTTCAATGAATGGGAAATTTCCTTAATTTTTGCTTCAGTAAAAATTCCCTGTCCATCAGCTATTCTTGTGCACGAGAACAGCCTATCCTATCCAATCAGCTATGAAACGCTTCGAAATGAAACAAGTCAAAGGAAATTTACTAAGGCAGGTGAGAAATCAGCGCCATGCACTCCAGTAGAAACGCCAAGGAAATGAAGAGGAAATCCTGCTGCACCATTTACAACACTACATACACATTTACATAACCGCATGTGGACAGTGGCAATTGCACTGCAGCTGTTAAATAACATTTCGCTGCTGCTGTACCTCAAGTTAATTCTGTACGAATACTTTCTTAAACCTAGCCATACATTTTTTGTTGTCCAACTGCTTTGACTGCTTTGACCGCATCGCAACGCAGCAACACCAAGCAAAGCAAGAGTGAGAGGGTGCACGAACGAGTTTGTGCTGCTTGTTTGCATAGACATTCGCAGGCAGTGTCATACGAATCAGGGACGGGTGGTGCAACGCAGGGGAAATGGAAAATTGGTGTTCATTCATAAAATCGGCTTTGCAGCTTTGTATTTGCTTTTGGTAAAAGATTTCGTGTGAATAACCAAAAAAAAAAAAATGTGTTTGTTTGCGCAAGCCCCTTTGCACATATGTACATACAGTTACTTCGCTAGTGCCTGTATTTTCGGCATTTCGGCACAATTGTGCGTAGTCGTTAACGTCGCGTCTGCTACTATCTCCACTGTTGTTGTTAGTGGATGTCTACATGGTCTCGTCGACGGCATGCAGATTTAACGTTTGCCTTCTTTTTCTTTTTGGAAAATGTCACAGAGAAGACAAATACATACAATCACCGAAATCATGAATGAATGAAAAACCCCGAAGGTAAGGCACTTGCGCTGAAAAAGACTGGCGTTTAGGCCGATTGACCGAAGCTAATTTATGGAAGAGCTGTGTCTTGTCGCAAGTAGGCTGATAGAAATTTTTGGGCTTAGTATGTTCTGGTTAAAAGGTGTTGGCTGCATACATAAAGCGTTTGCAGGTTTTGACAGGAAGTCGTTCCCGGTTCCAAAAGTTTTATTAATCTCGAAAACAGCTTTTCCTGTAAATCCTGTAAATCGTGAAATACCTGGAACCTTCGTTTCGACAAATCACCTATATTGTACATATTTATGTATTATATCACTTTTCATCACTTCTTGTGTGGCTTTTCGGACACACGAGTGTCTTGTCACTAAAATTCGTTTGAACTTCCACAATTTTGCATACAACCTCAAGAATTCAGTACTTCATTCATTTTCTCATGTTTCGTCTCATATAGCGTTTTACCACGCACATACCTATTTTCATTAACTTTTTGCATTAATTATATTTCATTCGTTGAATATTTGTCAACGTAAAATATTCACTTCCGGTGTCTGCAATGTGGTCTACTTTTCACATAGAACCAGAAAATATGTATGTATGTACATATACACATACTTGTATAAGCAAAACTACGGCGATGGGATCGGGGACGTCAGAGAACGTTGCTGCTGCTGCGCAAGTTTCATTCAACCGCAAAGCGAATGCCCGTAAAAAATTAGCAGCGAATTTACTAAAAAAGTATACTCAATTATTTTAAGCGAGACATCAACGAATGAACGACCACTACGATAGACGATTTCTTTGCTACTACTTTTCGTATCCACTGTTAACAGAAATGGAGCTGGTTTCTGAATATAGCTGCTCGCAAGAGCAGGGTTGCATGCTTATGCAAGTATGTACTTCTAACAGCAGCGGTTATAAGCGGATATAGAATATTTGAAACATTTTGTGCTGTTAAGAAAGGGGAAATTATTTACACTACAACAAGTAAATATTGGAAATCAATTTTATTTCCTATTTGTTTTTTTTTTTGATTGTAACCCTGTTTTGAGCAATTAGCTTAACATGTTCTTAGATATTGGTATGATTTTAAATTGTACTCCGCATGCATTGCAACCCTGCTGTGCGATAACACGATGCCTACACTATCACTTAAGCAATGTAAGCACGACACATTCAACCGAACGAATTCATTGAGGTACAACCAAACTCGCTACCGTCCATCCTCGCTTTCACATGCAACATTTTTCGTTAAGCGACCGTAACTCAAACATACCGAGCAGAGAGTTGGCAAATCGATGACGGCTAGAATCGTGTGAATGCAAAAATATTTTTTATTTTTATCCGAATTAAAACAATTTGTTCAAATTTTTCAATAGAAGTTCTCTGTATTGTATTAATAACCCAATATAAAAAATGTACAAATCTGCACATATGTACTAATCGTGTGACACTGCCTTTAGAGCCAAATACAACTTCGCATACAACAATTTTGAAATTTATATACATATATAGTTAAAAAGTTAAAAAAAAATTCTGGAGCGATTATGTTTTATGGTAGAGAGAGAGAGCTCAACTATACTCAACACAACACAACACAACACAACACAACACAACACAACACAACACA